ACTTCCTCCCACCCTCCCTTTCGACATCCACCTCCCCTTCTCCTGCTCTCCCAGCCCATGACGCGATTGCAATGCTGCACTGTTAAAATCATACGAGGCAATGCTTTGCAATTTTGATCCTTTGTATCTGCTAAGCATTTTTCTTCGCAGGCATAGCTTCGTAGTATTTTAACAGTGTGCGTGGATACGGCAGAAAGAACAATTTCAAACAAGCCCTCCTTGTTGCGGGAGCTTATCGTGATGGCGGCGATGAGTCGGTGATTACGAGGATTACGGGCGTGGTAATTGATAACGCCCCGAGTGACAGACGCTCATCCGTCAGGTGGCCCCCTGCTCTTCTTCCTTCTCCTTCCCCCAACCTTTCCTCCTCCAGCGAGTTGCATACTTTACAGAGCATTATTTTAGTCCCTTTTTATTTCCCTCCCCTACTTTCAGAGCCACGGGCATGCTGCTGCACTAGGTATTTCTTAAAGGTTTTACAAAATATTAAAACATTTAAAATGTTGTTTCAAAAAAATGATATTCATGCCCAATTATCGTCACATAATAATGTCTTTTCAACGTCGCTTCCTGGACGAAATTCTTGCGAGTACCGCCCACCGCCGCTGCCACTGTCACCGTCCTCTCGTCTACTGTTTCACCGGTGATGACCAACACTTTGCCTTCCCCGCCCCTCTGCGCTCTCCACTACTTTCTCTACTTGAGTGAGCGCCACATGAACAATACACACGCTCTGCGCAGGCGAAAGTACCGAAAGAGAGGGTGGAAGAGAAAAAGAGAGAGGGAGAGGGAGTGCACTATTCTTCTTGCCTGGATGCTTATTGGTTCGCTCATGCCAATCTCCTTTTGGAGCGCTATTATCCCGCTAGATTGATGCCGGTGTCACCGGCTTGCTTCCGTCCGTTGTTCTCCCCTTGAACGTCATTCCGACCTGTGAAATCATGTTTTCTGGAAGGATTACGTTTCTACAAGAATTACCAAAAGATGCAATATAGAGGCCCATAGGATGCAAATTGAGTTCATAAAACTTTTTTTCCCACAAGAATTACATTCCATTCAAATTAATTGGGAAGAAGCAGGACGGGAAAGCCTATGCTGCCTATGCGTATACTGCATTTTTTTTATGGATTGCTTCACGCCAACTGGCAAGGACAAAAGTTTTGCTACCGGAAAAATTGCAATCCGTATTTTAGCCCCCGCCCCCCTTCCATTCTCTGCACCCTCTTTACTCCTTCAGCTCCCCCCATCCCCCTTTTCACCCATCCTTTGCAGTTTGCGTCCGAGCGAAACAAGAGTAGCGTCGTGTCAAGAGGCAGAGGCTTTATAGCAAAATTCCTTCCATGCTTCATGCAACCCCCCACCTCCTCCCTCGGGCCATGCTCCATGCCTGCTGACCCTCACTACTTTGTCGAGACAAATTATGCGCAGATACGGTACAGCTCAATGCACGCACAACCAGCATCAGCTCGCTCGCATCGCGAGTAAATTAAATCGAGACTATTTTCATTTATTTTTTACTGCCCTGAAACTTCCTTTCTCGCCTGGGAATAGATAACGTTTTTCGAGACCGTGATGGTAGAATCATCGTCACGGACGTCACGCCGTCGCTAAGCGGACGGCGAAAAGAAAATGAGCCGAGGCGCAGCCACTCGCCAAAGCGACGGATGTCGAGGCCCTAAGCAGGAAATTGTAGGGAGGAAGCGATTTACTTGGTATTCTTTCAAAGTTGACGTTTCAGCAAATGAAACCTTAAAACCCTTACACAGCAAATATATTTCAGGGAAGTTCCCGGTTTAATCCGGGAAGTAATTTTCCGAATGCTATTTTTCGTCATATCTATGCATGTTATAACATTTGGAGCAGCCGGAAAATGTACTTCCCGAATCCAACCGGGAAGTTCCCGGAAAAATGTTTGCTGTGTTAGACTAAAGATAAACG